CAATTAAAATTTTTTTACATTATTTTTAGTGTGTACAACTGCATTTTTGATAATTATATCATTGATACCAATATCAAAATTCAACAAATCTAGACTAATCAAACATTCTTTAAATTTTTAAAAATTGATACAACTGGACCAGTTGTACATAAATTAAGTTTAACCTTGAAAACATTTTTTAGTACTAATTCCAAAATATGTCTACGACATGGTAAATACAACACATTACGCTCTAAGAGTTGTTTAAGCAATATACAAGCGTCATTTAAGCGACCTGTATTAGAAGCTGTTGTGTCACAACACAAGGCCTGTATTTTATTTTTTACATCTCAAACTTGTAATAAATCAAAAATTGCATTTATCTGATTCTCTCCAGAATCACTCTCAATTTTTGGGAACCCAAGTAATTGACTTACACCCTCAAATGATACCAAGATTGGCAATCGATCAACTTTAGCTCTATTTATAATGCCTGGAAGTAGTTTTCCATCCCAATGCAAGACAAGACTATTTTTATCCAGAAATTTAATTTTTTTTTATATCATTTACCTTTCTCTCACTAAAAAATAATCTTCCCCGTCGAATAGTTAATCGGTTGATTATTAACTTTGATACGTTATTACCTAATGCTTCAGCAGTAGAAATAATTAAATGCACAGCATCGCGGTCAGATATCTTGCATTGATCTAATGCAGAAAGTAATTTAGGATTCATAAAAGTTATAAATCCTCGTGTTTTTGAAGAATATGATGAACCAGACAAATCATCTTCTGTTTCATATTCTGAGGAACTAAACAAATTTAACTCAACAACATTATCTAAACAAAAAATGATTAATGATAGAAAAATGATTGTTATTTATAAGTTTTCTTTATTACCTCGCCAGAAAACACGTAAAACAATTTTATTTTTCTACAAAACTAATAGAAAATTAAATTTCAAATAACTTTTACATGAAAATTTTTTTTATAACTTGAACGGTTCATCGTATATACTTAAATTGCCGAAATATATGAATTTTACTGGTAAACATAATATTTATGGAACTTTTTACTTTTAGGAGGTAAATATTTGACTTATGGGTTTTTCGCTAATAATCTTTTTTGTGTAAAATAATTGTATGTATAATTTCTTTCTTATAAACTTTTACATAAAAATCATATATTTTGAGATAAAGCACAATAACTGAAAAACTACCCTTTTGATCGAATTTTCAACCCTCTTGCGGCACGTGTTAACGTCAACCTATCGGGACCAAATTTTGCACAGTTTATTTTTACATGTATTAGAACAATTTTTTGGTGCGCATAAATCGAATTTTGAAAATTTGTATTTTAAGGACCACCCTAATGTATATACATGTTATATTGATTATTGTACACTATACATCTTATCTTAAAATAACTATCATGTTATGTTCAATTTAATACAATAAATTGAGAATACTAAATGCGCTGACGACAACAATCCATGAAGGGGTAATTAAAAATAATATAAAAAGGCTTACTTCTGCTTGCACATCAGTGAGCGAGCGTGACAGCGAGAGGCTCATTCTCTCTTCTTTTTGAAGATCTGAATTCAATAAGGAATTCAGAATTCTTCTATTTGATTTATTTTGATCAAACTAGCCACGACCCCGTGTTGTCGTCGGTACATTTTAAAGCGATATCGAATACAATTATTTTGCGTTAACACTTTATTTATTTAAAAGAGACAGTATAAATATTTACGTAAATCTTGACGATCTTTGTACAAGCCAAACAAAATAAGTAAGTAAATTTATATTAACCCAATTATTTAGAATCAATAATCTGAGTAAATAATGATAAAGCAATAGATCACATATTTATATTCAAACTTTATTAATTGTTACTGACTAGTTCGTACCTTATACATAATCACATTACATGGTATTCGTGAGATGGCCACCGCCTCTTCGTTGCCTAAAAGAGTTTAAAAACCTAATGTGATTTCTACTGTATATATAAATACTTCGACTGGGAATTCGTGAGATGGCCACCGTCTCTTCGTTGCCTCAGTGTATTATTTCAGGTAATTACCAGTTAGGTCACTTGTAATACCTCTATAGAGAAACTTTAATAATTTCTTTTTATATCTACTTGTCTTTATTTTTCTAAATCCTCGGACTCTACAACCCCGATAGAACCTCGTTGCTCCTGAATTAACCAAATCCCCAAACATCCAACATAGGTCAAATAAATCACCTAACATCCTTTTTGCTTATTTTTGTATTACTACACTACTCCAGTCATTTATTCAAACAGATGTTTCTATTATAGCAACAGAGACTCATTGTTTAGATCCGATTGATATAGTAAATTAGCCCTAGAATAGCACTGTAGCACAAAATAAGTATAATGAAGTGTAAGTGAATACTTTAGACCAAACCTATGGTGTTGTAGGCTATTAGGACCACCCGCGCACACTCAACCATCATCACACACTCAGACATATGAATGCGCTGTTAAGTGCTAATTTAATACTTGAGAATCTTGGTCAAAACGAAGAATCGGAAGCTACCCGACGTTTGCTCAAACATTGTCCCTATCTCCTTAAGTGAGTTTTAATTACCTGAAGGAGACACAGGGGGCAATCGTATAACTTAGTTACAAGGGATAGATTATTAAATAATATTAGACTATTGTTTTATATCAACGACAAAGCAAAGTTATATTCTAGATGTTCAGTAAATATGAGTTATATGTAATGTACAATACGTCTGATCTGAATCCTAGTACAGTTGGTTAGTAAGTGTATCCAAGTGAGACGGAGTTGGTTGGCTATGATACAATTAGCGATAGACGGGTAATTGAATAAAACAAGTTATAATTAATATAAATAAGACGAAAGTAATAGTATTGAAAACTATGTCTATAACGGCCACTCAAACAAAACTGCCCTTTGTTAGTTCGACGTCAGTAGCTTCTGGCTACAGATTGTCATATCAGAATCTCCCTCTATGCTAATTCATATATATTACGAATTAAGTAAATGGAAATAAAACGTGTGTAATATAAGTGGTAAGAACACAGTAATAAACGTTCTTACAGCACTTACATCACAAAGTTCACTCACATCTGTCATCTACATTAATATAGTTTATTCACAGCCACCCACACCACCACAAATAACTTGGTATATCGAATACCCAGAAACCTGTCATCAGCGCTTTTATGTACTCGGCCAATGAAGAGGTAGGTGCTATTAGGAAAAATATTCACATCCAAACAACATTAGGCAATCTCATTACTGAGAGTAATTACATTCGAAACAGCCCTGTCACGTTTTCAAATGAAACTAAATAAAATTAGTAACAGAATGTCTGCAATCGAAGAAGATATTCTATTCATTAAATTATCAATGTTTAAACTTAAAAATCCTGCACCACTTAACAATAACTCTGTCAATGATAACGGGACTATTAAAGATTTGATAGGCCCGTCATTTAGTGTCGCCTCCGAACAGATATCTTATCAGTTCGTCAAGGTTTATACCAGTCACTGACCCGATTAAGGGAGAAACACATTTTGTATCGTCGAGTTCGAACATTTCTTTCCGAGTTTTAGATATTAAACAATATCATAGATCATATGATAGACGAATTCAAAGCTCATGTCCTATTACAAAAGCTCTCCTCATTCTTTCATTTTCGACAGCTAGCTGAAATTTTAGATATGTCTTTAGTAAAAACTAAAGAGCCCCTGAATTGAACCTCGTCTAGATAAGTGGATAAATCATATCACCAACCTAGTAAACCCATAGAAGAGTTTACAAAATCGACCAACCGCCCAGACAAAAATCCACCTAGAAAGCCACCGATCCCGTGTAAGCATTGTATGGGACCACACTGGAACAATAAATGGCCAACAAAACAATCGACAAACAGGTCGAAAAGGACTTAATCCAGCCCTCGGGTAACTCACCAATTTCCTACAGTAATCTACAAATTTCCCAAACGCTAGTACTCAGTTCTAATAATTCGTTAAAGGAATCAACTAACATTCAAGATATTGATCATGAAATATTAGACACTACCGCTAATTCTCAACCTATACACTGTTAGACTTAGTTAATCTTACCTCACCACACAATTACTCAAATCACCCACATCACTCTGACCTTGAGTATGATATACTTCAGAGATTTAGAAATCATTTAATAACCGAGTTGAATTGCTCCAAAGCTAGTCAAAACGAAGTAATTAGATTACACAGTTACAAAAACCAAAACACATCCCCAAAGGAACAGGGGGTCTATTTTTGAATCGTTCGTTCGTCGAATGTATACATTCGTTGAACGAATTCTATTGTTTTATTAGGAATAGGGTAAAAATTCTACAGGGTGTTCAGTAAGTCAGGAAACGGGTTTCTATTGTTCTCATTGTCCGTAACAATGAGAACAATAGATACCCATTTCCTGACTTACTGAACACCCTGTATATTTCTACAAACGTATTCGTTCGTTGAACCGATTCTATTGTTCTTTTAGGTATACGGCCTTCAAGGTATTATTCGATGAACGTTTATGTTAAACGATTGTTTGCAATTTATTTTAATAATATAAATAAATATTTTGAATTTTAACTTTATATAACTTGATTTTTAATATTAAAATATTACTTTTTAATAACAATAATTTATTACTAACACATACATTTATAATTTGTTAATTTAATTCACTTGATGTAAAATTACATAAATAATTTAATTACACAAATTCTAAAAAAAAATGTATATACAAATGCATGTATATTAAATTGAAAATTATTAATGCACTTTAAACAATACTTAAATTTTTGAAAATAAAGTGCTACATATATTTTATATTATAATTTTATTTATTTATTTTTATATTATTAATATAAAAATTAAATATAATTTATTAAATTATGTTACATTTAAATAAATACATATCAATAATAAATTTAATAAGATTTTAGTTCTTAATTTGAAAAAATGCCAACCTAGGCCACTGTTTGGAAAAGTTGTAAACATACAGTTCATAATTTTACGTGTTATCTTTGCACATAAGCTATGCTAATCTTCTTTGTATAGTTCCAATTTTAATATATCTACTGTCGAAGCAAGTACTTGTATGCGCCATGGGAGTAAAAAATTTTATTACACTAAAACAGTGACAATAAGGACTTATTAGCATGGGTTGGTAAAAATAAAGGAGATTAATAAAAGATTGCTAGGTCTTTGGAATACAGTTAAGTGTATATTAATGAAACAAACATCAGTAAATATATTGAATTTAAGTAATAATTTGCTTTTTTTGCAAAATTATGACCATGATAATTGTATAACATAATAAATTACCATTAAAAATATAAACTTTGCTCAAAGGTTTAATTTTTAAAAACTAAAGAAAAAATTTGCTCTAACGACATATGTTCTGTATGTAAACGGTTCCCAAAATTAGACAAAATATTTTATTTAGTATAAATTCATCGTTTTTTGAATTATGATATTTACGTAAATTAATATTAATTTATATTTACGGAATATTTATATCGAAATAATATGTTTCAACAAAAATTATAGTAAATATTTCATGATAATCTATGGGATAATGTGTGCTGATGTATTGTAAAACTACATTTTAACCTAAATTTTTTGGTTATTATTTATATATATATATATATATATATATATA